ATCACATTTTGAAAGTTTTGAGCATCTTATATCGAATAAGTAAAAGTTCGCGAGATCAATATTTAAAAAAAAAAAAACAAAAAGTAAAAACTAATGAAAAGCCAATCTAAGGTAGAAAAGTGAAGGCCAGTACTAAAATTCCATTAATTGCTATGTTGGTGAATATGATAACTAAGGCAAAAAAAAAGCATGATCAAATTACTAGAAAAGTACCAAGAGAAAGTGCTTGATGAGGAAAATGTCCACGTCCTGGCTCTTGTCTTCTCTCGCATCAAGTAGCGTGTCTAACACATCGTTCTTTCTAATAGAACCAACCGTCGCCCTATCTCGCAACCTCTTCTCGATCAAGCTGTCGAAGAGCTCGAAAATCTTCGTGAAATAGACCGTCATACGCCGCCTTGAGCCTTGCAGGTCGATCTTCTTAAGCGCGGGGAAATAATCCGCCAGGTTTGGGTTTCCAGCCTCGACCATGATGCACCAAACAAGGTCCTTGAAGTCTCTCGCCGAACCAGACGGTCGGCCAAATCCTCGGACAACATGGTCTTCGACAATAGATTGACTACAGTTTTGAAAGCCACTTCGCCAATATCGACAGCATCACCCGTAGAAAGGCTTCTCTTGATGTAGCCAACAAGCTCTTGAACTTTCTCGTGGCGGATATGTTGATTGGACTCGAGCTTCTTGTGAGAGAAGATGTGCAAATTGCATATCTTTCTAAGGTTCCTCCAGAGAGGTGAGACGGGGAGCCAAGGCAAGCCGAGCTCGTCTTGCCTCAAGGCAGTGACGGAGTCGGGGATCGTGCGGTTGGAGAAGATCGCGTCGTGGGTTTGGAGGATCTCTCTTGCGATTGCTGGAGATGAAACAACAATTGTGGTTACATGACCAAGTTGAAGCTTGATGATGGGGCCGTAAGTGCAGGAGAGCCCGGCAAGGGACTTGTGAGGATGAGAGCCAAGGCTTAGGAGGTTACCGACGACCGGAAGCAGCGGCGGACCTGGAGGGAGGTTTGAAAGAGTCGTTTTGCTCTTCTTTCTCATGAAAGAAAGAACTTCGAACAAACCCCATACAAAAAAGAGACCGAAAAATAGGACCAAGACGTCCATAACTAAGGAGGCTTTTGGTGTAAAGCTACAAGCTGATGCTCTCTCTTATGTTTCAGCTGGGGTTTATAACTTGCGTCCATCAAGGGACATCTGTTGAGTACTTATATGAGTAGAATATTTGAATGTTCAAAATGTGGGGGATGCCGTTCTTGTAATTAATATGCAATAACTAATCGTCCAACCATAAGATTTCACCAGATTACGTTCACATGCGGCATGCCACATAAAAAATGATCTAATTTAATTTCAACGTATCAACTGAAATTAGGTTACATATCATAGTGCACTAAGAGTTAAAATGACAAATTAAAAAATGGAATTTGATAACGACAATACCTCAAAACTCAACTAAATTCATCAATAATTCTAGACTTGAGAGTTGCTTCTGACTGTTCTCGCAGCTAACTGTATCCGTCGCCCTAGGGATGGCGACCGAAACTTTTATCAAGTGGTGGCGTCCCTTAGATATCATCGGGAGATGTTTTCTTTCGTGCTAACTGAAATGGTGAAAATTGCAGGTCAAGTGTATCTTTCGAGAGGAATTAGATAGGGAGATCTTCTCTTTCCTCATTTGTTTATCTCAGTGGTTGATGTTCTCTCGCATATCTTAGTACAGCCAGGAGCTACCAACAAAATTTAGAATATACATTTAATATGCAACGTATCCTAACGTGTCGGAATTCTCATTTTTTTGAGAAATGACGTGTCGGCGTATCGTATCGTGTCGCGTATCGCATGTCGGTGTCGGTTCTACTTACGTTACAGGTTGAGAAAAAGAAAGAAAAATAATATCAAGGATATAGGATTCCAATAAATGTAAGGTTTCGACCAGAAAAAAATATATGTAAGGTTTATGAGTCATTTCATCCGGAGTTGGTCCAGTCCTCGATCTTACATATATTAGAATCCTATATATTGGACCCACAGGGTCGGTCTCTGATCCTAAAATTTGGGGACTAACACTGTGTTAGTTGGTCATTGGGTTAGATGCTGGACCGACCCAACCAAGACCATGCTCATCCCTATACCAATTTGATGAGAAAATATATTTATTGAAACCCGTCATGCCTAATAGGAGACAATCCCATCAAATATGTAAAAGAGGGATATGAGGAGTCAAACTTGAGACAATTGATTCGGGTACCAATTTGAAATTATGTGAGCAACTATTTACTCCAAGAGCCTAATCTATTAGAGAAAACGTGGAGTATGATTTATATCTTGACAACAAAATATGACTAAGTCAAGTTGTGTGAGATTTGCTTAAATCGGGGTCACGCATTGATGGATGTACTTCTTTTATGCGCATTAGGAAATAGATAGAGATAGGCCTAACCAAGACCATGCTCAACCTTATACCAATTTGATGATGGCCTTAAAAATATATTTATTGAAAGGGTTAATACCATGAAAATTCCTAAATTGGTACACTTATGATAAATTTACCCCAAACTAATTTTTTGACCACTAAAAAACCCCGAACATGTATACTTGTACAATTTTGCCGTAAACTAATTTTTTTTATCATGGTACATTTATGACAAATTTACCCTCTATTAAATTGGATTAATACCACGAAAAATCACAAACTAGTACACATGTGACAAATAAAGGGTAAAACCTCAAACTGGTACATTCGTCAATTGCTACGTGTCATCCAACTTAGAGATTTGATGGTAAAATTTAACCGAAATTAGCGTAGGGAAAAAGTGTCACAGGTATACTAGTTTGAGGTTTTTGATTGTCAAAAATTAATTTGAGATAAATTTGTTACAAGTGCACCAGTTTAGGATTTTTCGTGGTATTAGCCCTCATTGAAACCCATCACGCTTAACAAGAGACAATCCCATCAAATGTGTAAAAGAGGGATATGAGGAATCAAACTTGAGACAATTGATTCGGTACTAATTTGAAATTATGTGCGCAACTATTTACTCTAAGAGCCTAATCTATTAGACAAAATGTGGAATATGATTTATATCTTGACAATGAAATATGACTAAATCAAGTTGTGCGCTTTATTTGCTTAAGTCGGGGTCACGCGTTGATGGATGTACTTCTTTTATACGCATTAGGAAATAGATAGAGATAGGCCTAACCAAGACCATGCTCAACCTTCTACCAATTTGATGATGGCCTTAAAAATATATTTACCGAAAGGATTAATACCATGAAAAACCCTAAACTGGTACACTTATGACAAATTTACCCCAAACTAATTTTTTGAACACCAAAAAACCCCAAACAGATATACCTGTAACAATTTTACCCTAAAATAATTTTTTATCATGGTACATTTTTGACAAATTTATCCTCTATTAAATTGAATTAATACCACGAAAAATCACAAACTAGTACACATGTGACAAACAAAGGGTAAAATCCCAAACTGGTACACTCGTCAATTGCTACGTGTCATCTAACTTAGAGATTTGAAAGTAAAATTTAACAGAAACTAGCGGAGGGAAAAAGTATCACAGGTGTACTAGTTTGGAATTTTTTATGGTCAAAAAATTAATTTGAGATAAATTTGTCACAAGTGCACCAGTTTAGGATTTTTCATGGTATTAACCCTCGTTGAAATCCATCACACCTAATAAGAGACAATCCCATCAAATGTGTAAAAGAGGGATATGAGGAATCAAACTTGAGACAATTGAATCGGTGCTCATTTGAAATTATGTGCGCAACTACTTACTCTAAGAGCCTAATCTATTAGAGAAAAAATATGACTCAATCAAGTTGTGCACTCGATTTGCTTAAGTTGGGGTCGCGCATTGATGGACCACCATTTGCAAGAATTGGAGAAGATTGGGCCACGGACGATTGATGAGAACCGAGAAGCCTACTGGGCCATGGCCATGGCAGATGGGCCAATTCAATGGAACTGCTAAAAGGGTTGAAATCCACCAAGACGAGCAATGTATGGATCGTGATTGGATAACATTTGAAGAATGGTAGTGTGAATACTCGATCAAGTCTAAATCAATTTTGCACACCGACGCATCTCTCCGTATGGACCCTCTATCCATTTCACATTCTCCTTTTTTGTCCCTTTTCCCTTAATAAAACATTTTTTTTTGGGGACGAGTTTTTATCAAACATTTGAGAAACCTTATAAATTAGCAATTTAATGAGGCTTGGCCAAATGAAAAATACCAGAGCTTGGTGTCCTTTTCCTTCTGTTTCTCGCTGGCTTTGGAATGGCACTCAGCCCATTTCGCTTGGTTTCGAGCTCATCAATTCGACTTAATTCATCGTTTGATGAAAAATTCACAGTTTCAACCTTTCTAGCGCCTATCGTTGTCCAACCATAAGCACGCCCCTTTGTCGAAGAAGTTCGTGCCGCCACCGCCGTCGTCGGTTCGAATCTTTCCGACCCTTCGTTTGCTTCTCCGGTTACGCGCTTCCGTATTAAAATATTCAAACATCAAACAACGCGTTCATCTAAAACTTCAAATTCCCGAAGCAATTGGCGGCGATTTGGAGTTTCTTCCATCGGCTTCTGCCGAAATGTCAATAACAGACGGCCGGAAACGAAGGGGTAAAAAGTAAAAACACTTCAGTCGGGCCAAACTCGAGAGTCAAAGCAAAAAGCACAAAAGCGGAAAAGAGCTTTAAAAGAAAAAAAAAAACAGAAGGAGAAAAGAAAATGGAAATTAAAAAAAAAAAAAGAAAAAAAGAGGAGAGAGTATCCAATACCGACACTCTGACTCGACAAAGCTCGCTTCGCGAGGAATCTAATGATGTTTCTGTTCTCAGCCGTTGAAAGCTCTCCCCATCCAACGCTCCACGCTCCATCTGCCCCCACGCCAAATCTGAACCTCCGCCGTCCGATCGAATCCACCGCCCTCCCTTCCCCCATCGCCATATCAAATCGCCATCGTCATCGTCATCGTCTCTCTCTCTCTCTCTCTAGATCTCAGAAACCCAAAAACCATCCTCTCTCTCTCTCTCTCTCTCTCTCTCTCTCTGGCGCGCGCCGAAAGAGAGAGACTTGAGAGGGTGGAGGTGTCCGCCGCATCTACGGTCTCGCCGTCGAGCGGCGGCCGCCGCCGCCATGGTCGAAGCCCAGACATGGACGACCCGCCGGATGAGCAACCCGAGGCTGGACCCCGCCGCCTCCGCCGCCGACCAGCTGGTCGACATCCCGGCGACCCCCCCCGGCGAGGCCCGCGGCAACGCCGCCGCGGGATCCCACCACCTCTCCCCCACCGTCCTGACGGCCCTGATCATCGCCTCCTGGTACCTCTCCAACATCGGCGTCCTCCTCCTCAACAAGTACCTCCTCAGCTTCTACGGCTATCGGTACCCCATCTTCCTGACGATGCTCCACATGATTTCTTGCTCCATCTACAGCTACTTCGCCATTAATTTCCTCGAGCTAGTCCCCCTCCAGCACATCCTCTCGCGGAAGCAGTTCTTGAAGATCTTCGCTCTGAGCGCCATTTTTTGCTTCTCGGTCGTTTGTGGGAATACCTCGCTGAGGTACATTCCTGTTTCGTTCAATCAGGCCATCGGGGCGACGACGCCCTTCTTCACCGCGATCTTTGCTTTCTTGATTACTTGCAAGAAAGAGACCGGGGAGGTGTACCTCGCTCTCCTGCCTGTGGTTTTTGGGATTGTTGTGGCCAGCAATAGTGAGCCCTTGTTTCATTTGTTTGGGTTCTTGGTCTGTGTTGGCTCGACTGCCGGGAGGGCTTTGAAGTCGGTGGTTCAAGGGATTTTGCTGACGTCTGAAGCTGAGAAGCTTCACTCCATGAACTTGCTATTGTACATGGCGCCGATGGCAGCTATGATTCTGTTGCCCTTTACTCTGTACATCGAGGGCAATGTGGCTGCGGTCACCATCGAGAAGGCACGGAGCGATCGATTCATTGTGTTCCTGTTGGTGGGGAACGCAACGGTGGCGTATTTGGTGAACTTGACGAATTTCATGGTGACGAAGCACACCAGCGCGCTCACATTGCAGGTGCTCGGGAATGCCAAGGCGGCTGTGGCGGCTGTCGTGTCGGTTTTGATATTTAGGAACCCCGTGACAGTGATGGGGATGACGGGGTTTGCCGTCACGATCATGGGCGTGGTGCTCTACAGCGAGGCGAAGAAGAGATCGAAGGTCATGATGAATCGTTGAGAGAGTTAACAAGGTGATCCAGAATACGGTGCAGCTCTTTTATTTCTTTTGTATGTTCGCATTGGAATTCATCAATTCTTATCGATGCTTTAGTTGATTGGAGGGAAATATGATTTAAGGAAGGAAGCTAATGAGATTGAATTGTATAGGACGGGGATGAAGGGAAAGAGATCTGAGGAGATCTGATTTCTCTTGAGTCCCTCTTTCTCTTTTCTTGCCTTTAATTGTTCTTGATTGGTGGGGGTAGAATAAGAGAATGAACTCTTCTCTTTTACTCTACCCTGCAATGTTATAGCTTTTTGTATTGGGACTTCGCAAAGATTTATTCCAATATCATTGGCAACGCATTATGTGGGAAGAAAAGTCTTCCCAACTTCAATTGTTTTTTGGAATTCTTACTAAATTCGGGTGTGCTGACACTTCTCAGTCCTGATCTCTCAGAGTATATATGTATCCTTCTGATATCTTTGAGAAATGTAGTTGATTGTGAATGTCTTTATCATTTACATTCTGTTTCCTCTTGAATCTCCGGCACTCAGAACTTTCAGATAGACCGGTGGGACGGTAAACAACCTGCTGTTTTCTAGTTGCTTCGCGTTTGAAGTGAGAGAAGTACATGTAGATTTCACTGGCTTGATCTTTGTTCTATCCGGATGGTCATATTTACTCCACAATAGTAGGTTTTATTTAATGATAAACAAGATTTCATTAAGTAGGGATAGGGTTTTTCTCGACCATGATTCATGTAATTTCTCTGTTAGAAGTTTAAATCGGTAAATTTTGGCTTCACCTGTGTGCATTAGTTTTGGCAAGCATGTCAGCCGTTGCTACAGACGGTAGAATGAGGATTCTAGTTTCCTGAATCATCAGGTTCCATTTTGTTTTAGCTAATCAATTTTTACAAAGATTGATCTTGTCTGAGTACCCTTTTGTGCATCGTCATCGAAGACGAAAGGTTAGTCATTGTCCAGTCCGCTGCTTCGTCCTAGTTTGTGAGGATGCTACTGGCCTGATTTACAGCAGTTCAAGTAATGCTTCCTGGCTCCTCCTCAGATTTGTAATTGGACCATCCAATTGTCCAAATAATAGCAGAATTTTTCTGGAGCTTTTAAATGATGTGTATGTATCAGTTGATGATCGCCTTGGTTGTAAATGAACCGCTTTGAAGATGAGTCGAGACATCTTTATCTCATCCAATTCCAAATATCTTTGCCGAATTGTGTGAATCTGTAGAGGCAGACTGTCAGGGTCATTCATCCAATGACTTAAGTATTTTCCTGATTTCCTGTTTGTTGCTGATTATCCTCTCCCTCAATTTCATTTTTAACAAAAATGGAAACTTGCTGGCTTAGGTGGAAAGAAGATCTGGTCTTTAATTCATTAGAAGAAACTCCAATCTTTCCAGTCTGTCCCCAGCCAGCTGTTGAAGTTGCCACGACAGAGACCGGCGAGTCCTCATTCACCAGAATCCTTTTCCCCCAACTTGTCCTCGTTGAGAGAAGTTGCCACGACAGAGACCGGCGAGTCCTCATTCACCAGAATCCTTGTCCCCCAACTTGTCCCAAAAAACAAATAATCAAAAACCCAAAATAACTAAAGATGAGTACGTTCTTCAATCTGATTTGGACTTGGCAAGCGCAAGTGAAGATCTCGACTGGTTAACGTATTGGCAACCACCACCTAAACAACTCTCCGCACGTAGTTGCGTGGGGCAATTGGAGAACGATGATTGAAGATGACGCTTTTGCCTACCTTTTAAGCTAATCTCCCCCAAGAATGTTGGTGTTAGGTGTCCTGTTGTCGGTCACAGCAAAGAGTAGGTCTTTTAGCCTGAGATCTGCATACAAATAAAAAGACTTTTAAGTCTCGTTATGGGTCTCTTTTGTTAGGTTGATGTTAATTTTTATTGTGAAAAGTTACGTGGTCAGTGTCAACGAAAAGGGGCAGAGCAACTCCTTGAGACGACTTCGTTTGTTACAAATTTGTGTGGAGGGTGAACTTCCTACTTCCTAGCTTGAAAGTTTAATTGGAGTCTTACCATCTATGTTCCATCCTCGTGTTGTTAAAGAAAACCAGCAATTGCATTGACTCTATTTCCCCTTCATCTTGTTTTTGTTTTCCGGGTTTGCAACGATTGAGTGGAGAACACAAGCGAAGAACTCATGACACTAATACTTATCGGAATTATCAACACGGTCGAACGTGATGAAGTGGCTTTTGATGGTGATTTTGTTCAATTCATGTATACGAATGTTATGAACTGGATTAGCATCGAACTTGATAGTTCAGTGGTAAAGGAGTCTATATTGTCTTTCATGATATCATAAATTCGAGCCATGTCGTAAGCGAACCTCCAGCCAATTTATGCCCTAGGCATCTAATACATCATGTGAAGAGATTTTCGAATTTTTCTACTTCTGGTATGCTATTGAGGTTCGCAAACTCGACAGCTCCTGGTGGATTGAATAGTTATAGTTCAAAAACCAAACATTTCGTAGAGGATGTGAGACCTTTACAGCGATGCTCAAGGGTAATTATGTTGGTCGCCCCTCTCCACCACTTCATTAATATTTGAAAAAAAAAATGGTTTGAAGTGGGACATTCTATTGAAATTCTTCTAGTACATCTAGTACCGCGAATTAATACTCTTTCAAGTCCTCTTGAAAAAACGGATGCTACCAAAAGTTTATTTGTTATGACTAACTAATTTACCAAATCCAACCAATTCCTTTTTTCTGTAGAAATAAGGAGCCCGAACAATTCTAATCGGGAAAGTAAGGAAACATTTTCCGTTAACTAAGAAAACATTTTCTGTTGACTCATTTTCCTAAGCAAATCAAATGCCGGAAAATGAGGAAAGTGTTTTCCTAAAAAAAAAATTCCTTGAAACAAATGGACTCTTGAAGTGATTTTCAATGTATAATGAGTCTCAATAATTTCATTTGTGGGATTTTTTTTCTCTATGCAACTGTAGAATCATAATACTAGTAGAAAATAACATAAGACATAATGGGTCCGTTTGGTTCGACTTTGGGGGAATGCAAATACTTTTGGGCTAAAGGGGTTTTCCGAAATGCAAGTAGTATTTGGTAAGTGTTTTTTAAAATCAACTTGGACTAAAGGACTTTTGCTAATATTTAAAAAAAAGGCTCCGGTGGAGCTTAACCACCAACCACCGCCGTCGGCCAACCGCCGACGACCAGATCTAGTTGCCAGCCATCGCCGCCTGGGGTCACACGACCTCAAGCGGCGGTCGTTGGGGTTGCGCGACCCCTAGGCGGTGGTCGCCGAGGTCAGGCTAGCCCTTAAGCGGAGGTCGCCGGCCGCCGGACCTGCCTCTGAGGAAGATGAACAGTCGCAATGAACAGTGCAAGTTGCATTCCGAAAATGCAACATCTCAATGCACCTCTACCTTGCATTGGCCAAAAGTCCCTTGGAGAGCATTCCAAATGCAATTGCATCTCCCCAATGTGAGTTAAAAAAGTTGCCAAACACCATTTGCATTTGGACAATGGACTTTAAAGCCCAAGTGAGCATTCCAAATGCTGACCAAACGGGGCCAACATCCATAGCAAGTTTGTCATTTGTTAAGGCTCCTCTCTACCTTAACAACTCAACACAACTCAAAACACGTGATGTAGAACAGTTAGCCTGTGATTATCTTGAAGAATGTGATCGCCGTAATCACCGGAAATTTCGGCAGTTTTTTTGATTAGGCAGTTTTTTTTACTTTAGGCAATTTCGAATTATCAATATTTCGTTTGATTTTATTAGATAAGATTAGATTTAATTTTATTAGATAAGATTAGATTAGATTTGCTTTGATGTTATCTTCATTAATTCGGATATCTTTAGGAGTCCTATCATTATAAAAGGACGTCCAGCTTTGTATTCAGATTATTATCTAAATGAAATTGAATTGAATTCCAGTCGAATCGTGGAAGAGTTTTTCAAGTTATCGCTTCTATCTGCGTCATTTGGTATCAGAGCAGGTTTCTCCTGTGACGATGGTGAATAACGTGAATGTCAATCTCCCCGCTGCTGAGGGCCGTGAGAACGAGCCTATTACGCGGGCTGAGTTCAATCAGTTTGTGGATCAAACCGATCGGAGGTTTCAAGAGATCCTTGATGCCATCCAGCGTTTGTCCACAAACCATGCACCTGGCGTTCTTCCAGCCGAGCGAATTCGTGTCGTTCGTGATCTCGAAGATGCTATGGGGCGTGGAGGAATTCCCCGACATAGGCGTCAAGACTATGTCGAGGATACGGAAGACGAAGACGATGATTTCCAGGAGATACAGATTCGTGGTGGTCGCCGATACAGGGGATTCCAAGAGGAGCATGTTCGTGGGGATCGACGGCAGGGGGGCTATCGACGAGATCCTGAGTAGTATCAACTAAAGGTAGATCTCCCTACTTTCAATGGGAATTTGGATATTGAAGATTTCCTTAACTAGCTTTGGGAGGTCGAAAAATTCTTCGACGCTATGGATATTGACGAGAATCGCCAAGTGAAACTTGTGGCGTACAAGTTGAAGGGTGGCGCTTCAGCTTGGTGGGAACAGACTCAATTGACGCGACGTCGACAAGGCAAGGCTCCTATTCGATCATGGGGTCAGATGAAATAGAAGTTGAAGAAGAGGTTCCTCCCAACGGACTATGAGCAACTGTTATTTCAGCAATTCCAGAATTGCCGACAATCGAATAGATCGGTCCAAGCTTATACGGAAGCGTTCCTTCGACTCTCCGCTCGCAATAACCTGGATGAGTCCGAGGCACAACAAACTGCTAGGTACATTAATGGTTTGCGACTTAATATCCAGGATCGGGTTTCTTTGCATCGACTATTCTCTGTCGAAGACACCCAGGATATGGTGCCAAAAATTAAGGTGCAATTGGAGAGGACTAGCCCTAGTACTCGTGGTAGCAATTATTCGAGTCGTGGGTCATTCGGGAAAGGAAGACAGCCTGATGTTGCAAGTTCTTCTAGTCAACAAACACCTGATTCGAGCCGAGTTCCAGGAGATACTACTAGGACAGCTAAGGAAGCAGTCGCAGCAAACAATCGCACTCCCAATCAGAATACCCAGAATCCATATGCCAAACCCCAACCGATCAAGTGCTACAAGTGTAACGAGTTAGGCCATCGTTCCAGCGATTGTCCTCGTCGTAGAATGGCCAATATCGTTGAACATGACGAAGATGTGTATGAGGAAGATTGGGAAAATGAAGAAGAAGTGGGAGTGGAAGATGAAGTGGGCGAGCAAGTTAATTGTGTTGTGCATCGTCTATTGCTTACTCCGCGGATAGAAGATACCCAGCGGAATCAGCTTTTCCACGCTCGCTGTACTGTCAACGGCAAAGTATGCGATATCATTA